TCGCATTGTTCGCCGTTGTCGCTGCTTTTCACTTTTCCTGTACCTCGTAGTCCCTTTTCCGAACTTCACGCTCCAAATCCCACTTCTGACCCTCACAAAGGTAGACGCGGTCGTAATACATTTGGCAAATCTTCTTCAACTCCACTACAAAGAATACGGAGAGTCTCTCAGAAATCTTTGGTTCCTCGACATGTTTGCTTTTTTCTGACAGCTTAGGCAGAGAGAGAGAGAGAGAGAGAGAGAGAGAGAGAGAGAGAGAGAGAGAGCACAAGCGGAGTGAGAGAGAGAGAGAGAGAGATGAACAGCTTCTCGCGCGTTTTGTTGTGTCGCGTCGCGTGCCACCTTGCGATCGCGTTACGCGTCTATTGAGAAAGCACATATCGCCCGAGCGATCGTACTCGAGCCGGAACCACAGCCCTTTCGACGAGATTCAATTTCACTCACTTATGTCGAGCAACGACGTTGACTCGCGAGGTTTGCTCGCCGTAAAACGACGTCGTGTCTAGTGAATGGATAAGCGATGAGATGGGTAGCGAATAGATTTTCTGCGGCTTCTCCACGGAAGATCCACATTGTGAAAAACCCACGAGTCTACGTATGCAGGACGACCGTGTCGCCGTGTCGTCGAGGAAAAGTGTCGAGCGCGGATGGCACGTAAAAATACGCAAGCAGCGAAACTTAAGCAATAAGCGAATTGACCCAATCACATCAAGAAAAAATTGTCGCAGACATGTGATTATTACATTGAAGTCCTCGATCGTGATCCTTAAACATTTTTCCACTTACGTTTTTTTAAGTGTTACTCACTTCTCGCATAGAAATATTTCCCAAGATTTTCCCAGATATAGATTCTGATTTTGATTAGACATAGATTCTGATTAGAATGTCCAAATAATTAGATTCCAAGAAATTTTCTGTGCGAGTGTAGGATCGTAACATATAGAAAGACGTAATAAAAAAAATTAACCCTTGGCGGTTCTGTACTGAATCTATTTTGTCATCGCGTTTCATTCTAATCAATTCTATAAAAAGAAAAGAAAAAATAAACATAAATATAAATATAATAAATAAATAAAAAAATAAAAATAACTTTTTATTCATTAATAGTATATATACTCAAAATAAATATATTACTGTAAAGACGCTATTGCATTAAATAAGGTTAAATATTGTAGATGAATATATATGCAATATTTAGTTAAATACTAAAATATTGAAATAATTGTGTTCAGTATTATCATATTAATAATGTCGGAAATGAATTTCTACAGTCTGATTGAGAAATAAAGTCGAAAATGCCAATTCAAACCACAAAGGACTCAGGAGTGAACACGAGTTGGCCAATTACGCTCGAGAATTGCCGGAAATATAAGGCCATTATATTGCAATTCTCAATTGTGATTGATGGATATGCTCGCTGCTCAAATCTCACTGTTTCTTCTATCGGCCCTTAGCCCGAGCTTACAATAGGCGTAATAACAAACTTTAGCCCTAAGCCCAAAACTGTGGCATAATTTTTTATTACAAACGTTTTCTACTGTTACCTGAAGTCATAATCCTCAAGCTTTAAGCGAGTTGGCCAGATTTCAATTGTTAAAACAGCTCGGAAGATGCCAGAAATTATAGACTTTCGAGCGTAAGGCTGAACGCTTATTACACCTGTTGTGGACCCGGACTTACACTCTTCACAAGCGCTACCGAAGGACGATTCCTAATCGCGTCGATATAAATGCTAATCCGATCCGTTTTCACATATTTTACCGGAGAATATAAAACACGTGACTCGAATGCTAACGGAATGTCACGAGGCGCGACTCGGTGCGACGCGACGCGACGCGACGCTCGGAATGCCAATGAGCGAGAGCCCTTGATCCCGAAATAAGCGAAACTTCCGAAATCTTTTCGATCCGAGAAAATTGGCGGTCCCTCTTTCGCTCCACATGCGCGGTAATAAAAGTTGCGCGGCGCTCGAATGCCTAATCGCGCTCGCGCGCGTCCTAGAAAATCCAAAGAGAAAGAGAGAGAGAGAGAGAGAGAGAGAGAGAGAAAGAGAGAGAAAGAGAAAGGTATTTTCCACACGGCGACGAGGAATGCACGCTCGGGCGTGATCCGCTCGGGAATCTCTTCTTTTCCGCGGAACCAAATAAATTCGTCCTGTTGCACCATCGCAACTCTGTCGTCGGTGTATCGCGAGGACGCGCGTCGCCGCCGCCGCCGCCGTCGTCGTCGTCGTCGCCGTCGCGTCCTCGGCCGAACACCTTCGAAACTTCGATCTTCGACCATTCGCACGTCCTGCATTATCCCGAACACGATTTCGCCTCGAAAGTAACATCGAGCGGTGTTGGACATTAATTGATTAAAAAAAGTTTTGTTGACTAAAATAATTGGCAAATCAATAATCGTAATTAACCAATCGTCATATATAATTACGAATAATTACAAATAATTCATAATTACGAATAATTTAATCGATTGGTAGAATTAATTATTAATAAGTGTATAATCAATCTAATTAAACTTTTGATTAATAAATACTAAATTTCATTAACCCTCCACTACCGAGCGTGACTCTAAAGTCACAATCCAGTTTTATCATTATCTATCTCCAATATGAATATTGTTCTTAACTGATATGACGTGAAAGTTACAATATGGCTGTCTTTTAGTATGTTGGCAGCGATGGTAATTGCCCAACGTGCTTTCAGAATCACAAACTTATTCTACGAAAATTTAAAAAAAATTATAGAAGTAAAAATTCACTTTATGTGTATTGAATGCATTAATTTTAAACATGTATACATGAAAAATGTTTTAAACATAAAAAATTTTGGACAGTAGAAGTAGTTAATTAATTAAATTATATGTGATTGTACACAGATTGTCTGAAGGCAACATGAAGTTCTCGTGTATATTAGATTAAACCGAGTAATAAACTTTTCTACCATTTTGCCAACAATCACGTAAAACGTTATGTTATTAATTAAAGAAGTTTAGTGAATAATCACGCGGAATGCAATGCTGAGTGTGACGGTAGGTACAGTTTGCGCAATGTGCTTGTATATTAATTAGGTTCGACTATCTGAAAAAGTTCTCTACTATCTGGCAAATAACCACATAGATTTTTTAGTTATAAATTAAAGAAGATTAATGTGCGATTATTCGCCAATCTTCTTTAACCCTTAAAGGACGGGGAAGTATTTTTGGGTAAAATTTTGTTTAAATCTGTATACTTGGGTTTTCGGATCGCTATGAGAATCACAAATCTAAGGTCAGAATTTTAAAATTCAAAATTGCGTATATATATATATATATATATATATATATATATATATATATATATATATATATATATATACAGCGCATTGCATATTTTATATTTTTAAATCAATATATACAAACATTAAATTACATAGGTTTTTGGAGTTGATTACAAATATGAATCGCAAGAATTGTAAAATTAAAAATAGCAGATCCATATGGCGGCTCAAAATAACAATTTTTGGTATTTTTCAGACATTTTACACTAAAATATATATACTCATATTCATGTTTTAGAAGTTGTTAATCTAAGATCAAAATTATATAATTACCGTGTATAAAAACCATCGATTTCAATCACCATATTGGATGCTATTTTGAATTTTGTAATTCTGATTTTAAATTTGTAATCAGCGACCTGAAAAATTTATATAACTTTATTTTTGTGTACCTTGATTTAAAAATATAAAAATTTGCAATGTTGAATTCGCTATAATAAATTCGCCATTTTGAATTTTGACAATTTAATCTTAGCGTTTCGTGATCAGTTATCCTGAAAATCTTACAAAAAGATTTTTTATTCAATTCGATTGATGGTTTAGGAACAAGAGAGGGATAGTACTATATATAGTTCCGTCCTTTAGGGGTTAATGAATAATGAATAACTAAAAAATTTGCGTAGTTATTTGCATAATGAGGATTGTTTTGTTCAGTTTTTTGTTCAGTTTGTTCTAACATATAAGTACATAGCGCAAGTCGTATTCACAACTTATACCGTATCCCGCACGATTATTCGCCAATCTCTTTTAGTTAATAACTCAAAATTTTATGTGGTTATTTGCGGAATGGTAGAGTAATTTTCTATTCAGTTCAACTTAATTTAGACGAGAGTTTTTAATATTACCGTCACGATAAAACGTCTAATTTCACACGTTATAGACACTTTGTATATGACGGTTGATCAATTTTGATAATTGATTTGCCGATTATTTGAGTCGACTAAAATTCTTATCGCTTGACGTCCAACACCGAGTTAACGCGCGGAGTGCAACGTCGTGTCTGCCAAAAGCGAAACTCGCGTGAGTTCATCCCGCGCTGTAGTTGTCGCAATCCCTGGGCCCGAGTGAAAATTCACGACACGATTCGAGTGACCGAGAGCAAGGAGACAGAGTGTGAAAGTGGCGTCGATTGAACGAGTGCGAGATCGCTTTCCGCATCATGCTCGCGTGTACCACTCGTGTACGGTCTCTCGTGCGTAAGTAACATATCGCGGCTGCAATGGTGCGAAAAAGCACGCGACGGTGCGAAGAAGAAAAAGAAAAGAAAAATAAAATAGAATAAGTACAGAAACAAAATCAGGACGTTGACGTTATGAGGTCCATTGCAGCGATGCAGACACGTTAATGCTGTTAACTTGTTTCCTTCTCAAACTGTCCTCAGAGTCTCATTGAGAGTTTGGAACATTAGTCTCTCGCGGCATTTCCCTTATCTAAGTGACGTGCAAACGTGCTCGAACCGAAGGTTCAAAGATCCGTCAACCAGAAACGTCTTCGAAAACCGTTCGACCAAGGGTGTCGCTCGGTCAAGCACGTGACGGAGTTAAAAAATCATGTGGATATGTGGTTGCGAGTTGGGGGCGGGGGCGGGCGAGGGAGCGTCGAAATTTGGACAAAAAAAAGAATGTGATCTATGCAGGAGACTCGACAGGCTCTCTCTTCTTTAGGCAAGCCGATCGTAATTACCTCCATCTCTTTCAACCTAATTTGCCTCTCGAGGTCATACTTATCGCCCTCGAGTGAGTACATTCTGTTCCAATATGCCGAACAGATCGTCTGCAGCTCGGCTAAAAGAACAAAAAGTTTATGGAAAAAAAGGGCAGAATAGTGTATGCTGAGTGCGTGTTTCGCATCGTCGTTCTTGCCGTCAGCTGTCTTTTTTTCACAAAAAAAAAGACAAAAAGAAAAAGCAGTATTTACTCGCGATCGCATATTATGTAAAACATTCGGGATTTGCGCTTTGAAAAATCAAAAAAGGAGGAACCGTCTCGTGATGGAGTGTGACGCGGATGTGGGTAAAATTATGGCAAAAATATGGCGAGTGATCGCACGAGAAGTTGCGGATATACTGATACGATAGGAACGATCTCCGCGCAAATTCGCGAGACTAATTTGCCGTTGTATCTTTTTCCTCTTATCGTATCAATGCCCGACACAAACCGCTTTCCGCCGTGTTCGTTTCCTCGACAGGCTGCGATGCTTCGACGGCGTGGCGAGGGGATCTGTGCGATCGACAATCTACGATTATCCGTGGATGCCCTAGATCACCATTTTGCGGAGGGTTACTCGTGAGGAAATGAGATTATCGTGGGAAGAGTAGAGAAATGATGAGTCTTTCGCGTTGGAAGCGAGAAGCACGAAGCTGACAATTGCGTGACCGTTAACCTGACACGGAAGGCGAATGGAACGGGGCTGAGAGGAGGAGGATGAGTCGGCAGTTTGTCGTAATGGAGAATTATAGGGGTGAGAGAAGAATACGTGGCGTAAAGGGGAGGGGCGTTGAAGGGTTTTTCGGTGTGCCTACTCGCAAAGTAAAACGGACAAAAATTCGGTCTACTCATGGCGCCTGCGAAAAACAGTAACGAGTTACTGAGATAGGTCTACGTTGAGCGATTCTACGAGTCGCGTTTAAGTACGTACAATACCAAAGTCGCGGGCCAAACTTGCATTCGGTCAATTGCGTGAAATGAGATCCCTGCTTAAAGAAGGCGACGAGAGGCGTAAGAGAGGCCAGAGAGGCCGCGCCAGGAAACGTGTAATTTCGTGTAATCTCGCCGTAGAGACGTGATCGTTTCGCACGTGTCATATTTGTTTGCACACAAAAGGAACAAAAAGAAAGTCAGACGTTTACGTAATCGTGCCTTGGTTAAGTATTGGAGAACGTGTGTTTCTCTCTTTGCTTTCACTCGACTTGTTTTGTAGATCCACTACCCGATCGATCTTTGTCTTTTCATCCGATTCCGGCGGACCTTTTAAGCAGGGATGCGATCGCTACGTTAGAGCTGTGCTGCTGCTAGGAAAAATACTCAGCCTCGACGTCTACGCCTATTATTATTATTATTATTAATTATTATTATTATTACGGATAGCTTTATTGTATGAGTGTGCAAATCGGAACAGTCGCTAGATACAGCGAGATATGCTTCACGCGTGAAAGAGAGAGAAAAAAAATCAGAAAAAAAATCGAATAGAAAAAAAAGATCGGTATGGCGTTAATCGCAGCGTCGCGCTCTCTCTCTGTTTGACACGAAAACATTCTCTCTTTTTTTTTTATTTTTCGACCTCCAAATCCTTCCTGGCGACTTCGTACTCTAGGTCGTACTTCTCCCCCTCGAGAACGTTGATCCTCTTATGATACTGGTTCAGAATGGACTTCACGCTAGCTGTTAAAATTGAAGTCACCTTGAGACATGCTCTCTCTCTGACAGACAGCAGACACGAGGGGTTTCTAAAAGTGTCCGTCGTGAATTAACCGTTTCTACCTTACCGTATCGCAGGCACCGTATAGTATGTGCGTGTGTGGGTGTGTGTTGTAAAGCCATGTGTACACAGATATGCAATTGTAACTCCGCGAATGTCGGCAGGGTGACGAAGTCCGCGCGGATGACTTCAACGAGCGATGGGTGCGAACTGTGAGAGGTAGGGACGAGAGAATAAGTCTGGGGGGAGTGAATCTGGTCTGAAAGCTACATCGAAATGTTACGAGATGCGCAAGTGTTGTCTCGCAGTGACGCGCGGGGACTGTCTCAAATTTCCGGCGGGGCGAGGGCGAGCTCGTCCGGGACGTGGATCCTCGAGAGCGCGGACGTGACCGCGAGATCCGAAGTTGTCTCGAGTCCGGGCGCGACGGTGCGGACGACGCGTAAGTATCCTCAAATCCAAAATGAGCATAAGTGTTGGGAGGCAGTATTGGGCGCAGAGATATACGGTGTTTCGCAAACGAAACCAAGCAACAGACCGGGGTTGGGAAAGTTACTTTTTTTAAGTAGAACTTGTGCCAACATCACTCTGTGTTCGTTGTGAAAAGTATATAGTTACCTTCTAAATTTCTTGAGGTGAAATCACATTCGAAAGGAGTAAAAGTTCATTCGAAGTGACAATAGGAACTCTGGGAATCACAAAGTGAAAGTTTCACTCCACCTCAGAGTGGATTATCTGTGGAACTATCTAATATGGATCTTAATCCATACTAGGTAATCTTAATGAATGAATTTGTTTCTGTGAGACAGTGTAGTACAAAAGGCTCCATTAGTACTCTCCCTCTAACTTTATTTTTTAATATACTCACATAACCATTAATAATTCTTTAATATATATAACTCCCGTAACTTTTAGAATTTTCGATTAAGCACATTGTACTACGAATATTCGTACATCATGACTGTTCGATTATTCGAGGAATTGCCGATTCTTCCAATAATCAATAGTCATGATGTACTAATATTTATAACATAATAGGCCTGTGTGATCGAATATCTCAAATGTCACTATACTAGGAAATGGCACAGCATTGGAGTCTTCTGTACAGAATATTGCACTTACATACAGGTCAATATGACAGATAGCCTATGCGTTTTATTGACGGAGATGCGTAGTCATGCTCACTAGGAACTTCACAGAAAAAAAGCGCACATGTGAGCATTCCATCAAGACCTACTGAGATCGCATACACTCGCGAGAGCGAAACGGTTTGGACACTTTTTTACCAATAAAATTGCAGCGCTCCGAGTTGTCGGAATTACGAGCAATTGCTGACGGATTGGCATAGTGATTGGTTGTCTCTTGTTACTGACCAATTACTGCGCCAATTTGTCAACAATTGTTCGCAATTATGACAACTCGGAGTGTTGCAACTTCACTGAAAAAAAGTGCTCAAACCGTTTCGCTGTCAAGTGTATAACTACGCGCGCCTGCCAGCGAAAAAGATAAGCAAACCGTCGTACTAATTTGTATGTAAATATAACACGTCAAGTTCACTCTTTTCAATTTCGAACAAAAATATTTATACTATGATTCAGAGCAAAGAAAATTCACTTCGTATGAGTGAATCCGAGTCGAAGTTTTGATCCTACTTTTGACTTTAATATTCTATTTAACGCTTACTTACATATTCTAAAGCCCATATCCATCTCTTTTTGATTCTATTTAATTTATTAACTTTACCGAGAAGTCCTCTTTAGAATCAACAAGTGGCATTTTGTGAGTTTTCTATTATTTAGAGACGTTAAGTAAGACTTGAGTTTCCAAGTATATAAAATATACTCTCTAAATTTCTTGGAGTGAGTTCGCATTTTAAATTCACTCCAAGTGATAGTGAATATACTGCGACTCCGAATAGAGTGGTACTTCATTTTTTACAAGTGTGAATGTTCCAATCCAATCATAAAGTGAATTCTTATTTTGTGCGAATTCTTATTTTATGTTTTTAAATGTTTCACTCGATAAGAAAAATACGCTTGCTATCTAAAACAGGAATCGAACTCGGGATTTCTGGTTTTGAACTAGTTACACTTTGTACCCTATCTGGCTTTAATTGATAAATATGTTTCGTATTGTTTACATTCTGAACTTTACAGGATTCTACTTATATTTTGTAATAGAAATGTAATATTATCCTGTAAATTAGTAAAGTTTTTTAAACATTATTAATAATGTTTAAGAGAGAGGTAAAGTAGTATTTTAAGTACTTTTATTCAAATATATATTTCTTAAAATTTAATCAATTATACGGAAAAAGTGACACAACAACGACATGATGGTTATAGTTGGACTTGATCATCTCTTTACTTATAACATATATTATTAGAGTGCAAGAATGCGCTACATAAAAGTGAGAAGTCACTCTAATTCGAGTGACTCGGCTGTTATTCCATTTTTCAAGATTTTTTTTAGTTTCGAATTTTACTTTAAGAAATTTAGAAAATACGCTGATCCTTCAGAATATATATATATATATATACACATAGATATTAAAAAGTTTAGATCGAAAATAGGATTAAAATTTCGACTCAGAAAATATCACTCGGATTCATGTGACTCGACTGTCACTCTACTCTTCAAATAAAATTATATTCGAAGGAATTTAAAGAGCACCGTTATCTTGTTACGTAATTTGAATAAGAACTTATTATTGTAATCGCGTCACTCAAAATGCAACGAATCATTATTTTTTTCATTAAATTTCAGCTACCTTTTTCATTAAATTTTCCACGGTTTAAATTGCCCCTCATTTTGTGTTCATATATTCTACATGTGCAAAGTAACGATTATATCTCGTTACCGTTACTAGTGAGAAGAATAACGCAGTTACCAAAGTCATTACTAGGAAAAAGTAACTTATAACGGCGTTTCAAGTAACGCGTCACTTCCCAACCCCGCAACAGACGATACGCTTTTTGTGTGAATAACAGAAACCATAAGAGATATCACATAACGCTGAAAGACACAGTTTATGTTTAGCATAATTCGACACCTATAACCTGTTTCTGAGGCGATGTTATGCTGTTATTTTGTGACGGTGCGCGTGTCCCGTGTGAAAATAGTGTGAGTAGTGACAAGCTGTATTAACACAATGATCAAGATGCGAATAGTCCAAAAGTTCTTAAATCACCAATCACGGCCGACAAAGACTCGTGACAAGATTAAACGTTGAGAGCAGAGAAAAAGAGAGACACAAAAAGAGACAGAGAAAAAGACTGAAGACAGTAAGAGAAATCGCGCGCACGTTAAATGCGAAGTGAAACAACAAGTGCGAACAGAACCAAGAAAATCGACGGCGGTGTTGTGTGTTATGTAGATAAAGAAACAAAAAGAGAACAAAAGAGAAAGAGAGAGAGAAAAGTAAATGGAAAACGGTGCGACGAAATATGCGAAGCTTGCGCCTCTCGCCCGGCCACAATAACGGAAGCTGCGACGAACAATCCAAGTTTCCGCAAAGAGCCGTTAATCATCTACCAAGTTGCCAGATAACGATTATTCATCGAGCCGTCGGTCGATGAAAATAGCTTCGACGACACTAAAATTGCAAATCTGTAACCGGCGTAGAAATTGAAGACGAGTGTTCGAATTATAAAACGACGACGAGTAGTGTCGCGACGACGTGGAAGAAGCTACTTCGTCGATCGAATAACCGCTCACACGATTAATTCACGCCGTTTATCCGCTTCGTTTTTCGCGTTGTTTCATTTGTTGAAAAAGAAGATCAGATAAATATTCAAATATCAGGACCTCGCAAATTTTGTTGTGCAAACTATAATCGATTAAAATTGTATGCATATTGAATCAGGTCAATATATGACGTAGAAATTTGAATTAAATTGAAACGTAGTTATTTCGAAATAGAAACGTAGTTGTACGCATGATATATAGATGTTATTTCCAATTATTAAAAGGTTACTCTAACTGTACAACTGCATACTTGCAATTCTACTGCTTGGAAGTTACTGGTACTGGTTGGAAGTTTAAGTAAATTAGACGATAAATACGACCAATAACACACACTAGTCAACAAAAAAAATTGTTTCACATAGATTATGTGATTTATATAATATTTTTTATGCTGAATTAAAAAACATCTCCAAACAGATTTTTTTATTACCCAGAATATTCTTGTGATGTGATTTTTCAAGAATGATTATTGAATGATGTGAAGTTTCAAGAATGATTAATTTTCTCTATATATACAGATTTTCTGTATATGTATGACATATTTATAGTTTAAATCGTAGAAACTAATGATCTTTACTGTATTTAGCTTGTGATGTGTCACTTTTAAAAATAAAAATTCATATTAATTTTTATCGTATATTGTACTTAATTGGAGAAAAATTACGTAAAAAGAAAAAGATCGTTAATCAATCTAATTAATATTGTTAGTTAATAAATCCTTATGGACAAATATATTGTTCAAATGGAAAAACATTTTATAGAAAATACATCAATATGAAAAGAATTATTAAGACTTATTTAGAAATAAGTCGCTACGAATTATATGAGTAATACATTCCATATACAATATATTAAATCTCAAATGATCATCATGGAAAACTATGGACGATGGAGAAATTTTGGAGTTTATTTTCGGCTTCTACGTAAAATAAATTAGAAACACATCCGAAATTCCATGTAACAAATTACCAGTGTTGATCAGTGTAATTGGTCAGTTTTATGTTTGTCTCATTAAATAAAATTTTGAACTTTTTTCACGCTAACAAGAGAGTAAAAGAAAGCGAAAATTTTGCTGAATTTAGTGCAGTTAGGAGTTAAAACTTTCACTCGTGTAACCCGAATTATTTGAACAGATCTTATTTTATAGTATTCGTAACGCGCGCGCGTGTAATATGAACGAATAGAAACGTTAATTTTATCAAGTTTATGCGCGCGCAAATGCTATTATCGCTACTCTAAGTATAAACACGGAATGTCGTAAAATTGAGTAATTTTACGCAATTTTGCAATAACGGTTTGTCTCTGTGCCAGAACATCAATCGCGTTCGTCATCGCTCTCTACATCATCGTGCAACCGGGCGGAGATTGGCGCGTTGCTCAAAAGTGCAACAACATTGAGCCATCGTTACTGTATCGTGAGCGAGTGAGCACCACGTTATTATTATTATTATTATTCTGCAACGTTGCGCGTATATATATAACGTTCTCGCAAGTGTTGCTCTCTCAAATATACCTCGAAGTCCTTCCTCTTCACGACATACTCGATGTCGTATTTTTTGTCTTCCAACGTCGTGATCCTAGTGTGATATTCGCGCAGCACGCGCTTTAGGGTCTCTGTGTGGGGTTTATCATCATCACAGGTGAATATGTAGACGCAAAAAATAAAAACACAAATACGTATCTCGGGTATGATGCGTTATCGTGTTTCTCGCAAATGGATCGAAGAGTGTCTCGAGATATAGAACGAAAAGCTTCAGAATATATGTATAATATGTAACGAGAAAACAAAAGTCGAATATCGCGTACCAATTTCGTTTTACCTTTCAACGACACGCTTTCTCGAGATCATCGAAAAAGGTAACCGACTAAACGACGATCTGCAAAGAAATCGATGAGAATGGCGGGAAGAGTACAGTAACGTGAATCATTTTCCGGCCTGCGAGAGGATGAATATCTTACATACAGTCGTTAATCACTACTACTTAACGAAGCTAATTCTTCTACGAATAAATCTGCCTGAGTCTGAATTCTGGTTCCACATTAACTCTATCTGTAGTTTCCACTGCATCTTAATGTAACGATGAAGAATCTTAATCTGCAATATCATATATTCTATATTGTACTTTGATGTTGGAAATGGTAACATATTGCTGTTTTATTTATTAAATCTTAAAGAAAAACTTATTCAAAAATTTTATTTAATATTCAATTGTTCATTTAATATTCAACAGTCCATCTACGATAAGAATATTAAACCATAAGAGAGAAAAGTTTGTTGTTTATTTGTCTTTTTACCTCTCTACCCATTCATTAATTTTTATTAGATTATTAAAAATTTACTCTCTTGCATTGTCTCCATATATATACTCTATTTATAAAACTCATTAAACTCTTTATTAAATTATTTAATATTTGCTTATTGTGCGCGCATATTCTATCTACAGAAGTGAGTTTTATATAATTAATACATTATTTATCGAAATTCAAAGTAAAAATTAGATATTAATAAGATATTGACATCAAATAAATAAATTTAAAATAAAGAAAATTAAAGACCAAATATTCTAAAATTAAAAATTAACAAATAAAAAAATGAGATTAAAAAATTCATTGGTCGCTTAGTTTAAAATTAAATAAAATAATTCTCGAATAAGTACTACTTCGAGTCTCAGCATGGAAAAAGTGGTAAATAAGCATTTGTAGTATTAAGGTAGGACTATATAGTACTAATAGTCTATATAGTATTACACAGATTCCCCATTGATCGTTAAAGTTTGCGTAGGGAACTCGTAAAATTAATATACAACCAGAAACTCGACTCGGATGCGTCCATCCAATTAAAGACTGTTACACTAACGAGAATTCGAATTTGCAAATATTCAGTTTCCGAGAAAATGACTCGAAATTATTTGTGGACGATGCACACAAGGCGGATGTTCCGCGTACGTTAACGAACGATACAATAATTCTCGCTCTTGATATCGCGATCAATATCGATTAATCGCGACACGGAAGATTAATATCCAACGCCAGCTATTGCGGACGGACACACCGAGGTGCCGCAATTAACTTCGGGAAAACGTCAACGACGTTGAATATGAGAAACGTAAACCCGATTCGACGGTTGCCCGTTGAGATTGTGTGACAGAAAGCAAAGTACCTTCGTTGGCATCATCGACGTTCTTCGGTTTGCCGCAGCGCTCCTCAATGATGCGCCTCCTTTCGGCCGCTTTCCTCTCCTGTTCCTTCTTCAATTCCTCGGCGGCTTTTTTACGCAGCAACAGCTGGAAAAGAAGATTCGTAAGACCTCGCTCAGGAGAGGAAAAAGACAGAGGGACTTCGCCCGTTTGCCCTGGCGAACAAACGCCGAAGCTCTCTTGCCGGAAATCGGCTCCTAACCGGCGTAATCGAATTCACGTAATTTAAATGGAAATGCAATTTTACATGCGAGAGCGTTCGTTCGGTCGTTCATTTGTTTGTTCATTCATTCGGTTCATCGGCGGCCTGTCGCTGCTAAACGGTTTAAACTATTTAAATCGGCGCGCGATCAGGTGGATTATTATTATGCCCGCCTGATTTAATAAATACAATGTCATCGATCGTTCGCGGCCAATCGGTTAATCGTTTATTAAAACACCTGCTGAAAATAAATAGACTCGAGAACGTTGCGCGTACAAATTAATTAATCGTTTTATTTATAAATCCGGAATTCATATAAATGCATTTCATGCGTTAACGCAAAAGTGAAATAAAAACAAACCAAAACGTATCTCGCGAGCTTACAAACATGGCAACGTGTTTATTAGAAAATGAGAAAAATGAAATGTTAATATATTGAATGCCATATCATTCATAACTAAATGATGCTAATATTTTGATACTACGTCATATATACAGGATATCTTAAAATGGTGCCATCGTTCGTGAGGATTAAGTCAAATGGAACAAAAAATTCCTCTATCATTTTTCAAAAAATTATGTAAAAATCATCTTTTATTTTAAAGAATTTAACACATTCGCGACGACGTTATCTCTGTTAACAGAGGAGACCGGATCAAGTTGAATTACTTTTCAGAATTCCGAAACCACAGTTCTTTAAATAATTAATTGCTGTGATTCACCGAAAAGACATGACAGAAACAATCTTTTTCTATGTTTTTATGTCAATCCTATAAACCATATATTTTGTTCTATAATATATAATATACTGTTTCTGATAATAAATGCAATTTTCGTTTATAAAATGGTTTAAATAGAGCATATAGGCGGACGAAGTAAAGTTGATCCATAGTTAAAGGTCGGTAGGAGATCTCTCGAAGAAACTCTGAGTCTACTAATCAGGATACATATTTTATACATGGCCTTCGTATCCTACGCTACTAAACTCGATACCAGAGCAAGATGATTATGTTGCTATATGTTCGTATTATGGTTATTACAAAACAAAATATGCGATTAATAAAATATACGGTCGTGGCAAACCGTATTAATACTTAGAAGAAAGTTGCCTCTATCATGTTTATACAGTCAGTCATGACAATTAGTTGCCTGAGAAGTTATAACTTCGAAATTCTGGAATATAGGACATCTGTCCTCGGTTTCCTACATTGCTCCTATAGAACTTTGTCTTTGTTTAAAATTAGCACCAGAATAATCAAAATACACCTAAAATCATGAAACGTAAGCGTTGAAGTATTCATTTTACCGAAAATATAAAATTATTAAAAAGGAAAGTCAACGTCGCGGAATAAATATTAATGAAACAATCATCGTCGTGAATGTGCTAAAGTTGTAAGTGATGAAATGAGTGGCATTTGTGTAGGTAAAAATGACAGTTGAAAAAGAGAGGTCTCATGTGGAACCGGAGAAAGCCTAATTAAATCAACTTGACGCACAATATGTTAAAATGTTAAAATGTTCCAATATTTGTGAATTATTCTTCCTTTCTTTAATTTCTCTTTTTTCAACAGACGGCACCTGATGTTCGATTTGAGATAAGCATTTCTGTACGTGATGTATTTGCAAAACATTTCACGACCCCGGCAAAATTCATTCGTTCACTCACTCTTTCTCCCTCTCTTTCTCTCTCTCTCTTTCATACGGTCAGCGAGAGAACTAACGTCAGTCGGAATTCGGCGAATCGCAAATATTGACGCAGCGGTAGGAAGGAAGCTGGATTTACGGGAAAATAACATTCCGCCGGCTCGACAAAAGATTCTCGAGAAGGTAATCTGCATACGTGCACGGAAACTTTATATACTGCGACTACGAACGTTTGCGACAGTGCATGGTGACGGGGCAAGAGAACGGGAGGAGGAGGAGGAGACGTGAGGTGTCTTGGCGCGCGAGAACGCTTCTGCAGGACGACGATGGGAGCGGAACCGTAAGACGGTCCCATAAAGTACAAATAAAAAGGCGAGATAAAGTCGGGAAAAATCTCACGTACGCACATGCGCGCGCTGAGCACACGAAAGGCCGGCGGCGGACAGCGGCTGGAAAACAGAAAACGATTGGAGAGACGAAGCGACCGGAAACAGAATATGAGAACGCGATAGAAACGGTTGCCGCCGGGCGGGAAATATTTCGCGGAAGAATCGACACAAAGGCGGCGAGGAGAATTGCCGCGATATTGCTGCGGAAGCGCAACGGGCGGCGCGAGAAGAGATTATCGCGTGCGACGGAGCAATGAGGTAAATCGGAAACGGAAGATCTGCAGCGCAGCCCGATGATGTTACATTTCGAAGTGACCTGAATCACATCCGTGTGAAAGCTTGCGCAAAGTTCCGTTAAACTCTTCTGTACTCAATGGGTACTAAAATTCATTAATCCTAGAATCCTAAACATAATAAAATTTACCCAGGCTAACTCTTTAAACGTTACTATTCTTAAAAACATGTGTTTTGTTTCTTCATTATAACTTTTTTCAACTTCATTTAATTGCTAGGATATTAATAGATTCATATTCCTCGATGTGCTCTCTACACTGATTGAATATTTTTAATATTTTGTTCTTAAAAAGGATTTTATTTCGATCATTTTTCTTAAAGTTATGAGTAAATGAAATATACTTATTTGTAAAATGTAAGTAAAATTTTCTCATATTTAATGGTTTTAACTTTTTGATATTTAGGATTCTCTAGCGTTAAAATAACAGATTAACCAAATAGTCATAATGAGGCCGCGGCAAAATTTAAAATTTTTCAGAATTTCGATCTCTTTTCATAAATAAACTTTCGTGTTTGTCATGACGTGAGACAGTCGATGATGGATTTATATTTTTTTAATTACATTTATAGAGTAAATAGATTGCATCAAATTAACTATTAAACAAGATTGCCCATTTTTGCCCTCAAACGGATTTTTATGAGATATACATTTTTTTAAGGATATGAGTCCCTGATTCCAAGAAGTCATCCTTGTTTCAAATCTGAACAGCATAGCTAAAGTTAGAAGGTACCAAAACATATATTGAGTATTTGACATTGCAAACGACAGAAATCAGTTTAACTAACTAATATGATTAAGATAGAATGCAGACCAAAGAAAGAGATGCTTTGACTTTAAAAATAATGAAATAAGCGCGTGAGAAAATAATGAAATAAGCGTGAGAAGCGCTTATATATTAAATATATAAAAGAATGTAACCACAGTATGGCGATTTTTTTATAAAACGGTGTTGAGTGACATTAAAATATTTTTGGACTAAGATTAGTCTGGCGTCTAAAAATAAAAATATATGACCCTAATCCCAATGCGAGCTTTAGCGGAATATATATATATATATATATATATATATATATATATATATATATATATATATATATATATATATA